TATAGTTTGAAGTCTGGTATCGCTATACCGCCTGATTCACACTTCCTGCTTAGCATTGTTTTTGCTATTCTGGGTCGTTTATTTTTCCATATGAATTTCATGATTGCTTTCTCTATTTCTACAAGAAATGCCATTGGGATTTTGATTGGCATTGCATTAAACCTATAGAGAACTTTTGGTAATATCGCCATTTTGATGATGTTAGTTCTGCCTATCCATGAACAGGGTATATTTTTCCATCTTCTAAGATCTTCTTCTATTTCTCTCTTTAGGGTTCTGTAGTTTTCATTGTATAAATCTTTCACCTCTTTTGTTAGGTTGATTCCCAAGTATTTTATTTTTTTTGAAGATATTGTGAATGGAGTGGTTGTTCTCATTTCCATTTCAGAGGATTTGTCGCTGATATACAGGAATGCCTTTGATTTATGCGTGTTGATTTTATATCCTGCCACTTTGCTGAATTCATTTATTAGCTCTAATAGTTTCTTTGTAGACCCTTTTGGGTCCTCTAGGTATAGAATCATGTCATCTGCAAATAGTGATAATTTAAGTTCTTCTTTTCCTATTTTGATGCCTTTAATTTCTTTCGTCTGTCTAATTGCTCTGGCCAGTGTTTCGAGAACTATGTTGAACAGAAGTGGTGAGAGAGGGCATCCCTGTCTTGTTCCAGATTTTAGAGGGAATGCCTTCAATTTTTCTCCATTCAGAATGATGCTAGCCTGAGGCTTAGCATAGATTGCTTTTACAATATTGAGGTATGTTCCTGTTATCCCTAGTTTTTCTAGAGTTTTGAACATAAAGGGATGCTGTACTTTGTCGAATGCTTTTTCCGCATCTATCGAGATGATCATATGGTTCTTATTTTTAAGTCTATTGATGTGGTGAATAACATTTATTGATTTCCGTATATTGAACCAGCCTTGCATCCCAGGGATGAATCCTACTTGATCATGGTGCACAATTTTTTTGATATGTTTTTGTATCCGATTCGCCAGAATTTTATTGAGGATTTTTGCATCTAGGTTCATTAGAGATATTGGTCTGTAGTTTTCTTTCTTTGAAGTGTCTTTGTCTGGTTTAGGTATCAGGGTGATGTTGGCCTCGTAGAATGAATTTGGAAGTTCTCCCTCTTTTTCTATTTCCCGAAGTAGCTTGAAAAGTATTGGTATTAGTTCCTCTTTAAAGGTTTTGTAAAACTCTGCTGTATACCCATCTGGTCCTGGGCTTTTCTTAGTTGGTAGTCTTTTGATGGTTTCTTCTATTTCCTCAATTGATATTGGTCTGTTTAGGTTGTCTATATCCTCCTGACTCAATCTGGGCAGATCATATGACTTAAGAAATTTATCGATGCCTTCACTATCTTCTAATTTATTGGAGTATAAGGATTCAAAATAATTTTTGATTATCTTCTGTATATCTGAAGTGTCTGTTGTGATATTGCCTTTTTCATCCCGTATGCTAGTAATTTGAGTTCTCTCTCTTCTTCTCTTCGCTAGCATGGCTAAGGGTCTGTCGATTTTGTTTATTTTTTCAAAGAACCAACTTTTAGTTTTGTCAATTTTTTCAATTGTTTCTTTTGTTTCGATTTCATTAATTTCAGCTCTGATTTTAATTATTTCTTGCCTTCTACTTCTTTTGCTGTTGTTTTGCTCTTCTTTTTCTAGGATTTTGAGATGAAGTATGAGATCATTTATTTGTTGGTTTTTTCTTTTTTTAAGGAATGAACTCCAAGCAATGAATTTTCCTCTTAGAACTGCTTTCAATGTGTCCCATAGATTCCGATATGTTGTGTCTGTGTTTTCATTAATCTCTAAGAATTTTTTAATTTCCTCCTTGATGTCTTCTATAACCCATTGATCATTCAGTAACCTATTGTTCATTCTCCAAGTGATGTATGCTTTTTCCTTCCTTCTTTTATCGTTGATTTTCAGTTCCATTCCATTATGATCAGATAGGATGCATGGTATTATCTCTACTCCTTTGTATTGTCTAAGAGTTTCCCTGTGACATAATATATGATCTATTTTTGAGAAGGATCCATGTGCTGCTGAGAAAAAAGTGTAACTGCTTGATGTTGGGTGGTATATTCTATATATGTCAATTAAGTCTAGGTTATTAATTGTGTTATTGAGTTCTATAGTTTCCTTATTCAACTTTTGTTTGGAAGATCTGTCCAGTGGCAGGAGAGGTGTGTTGAAGTCTCCCATGATTATTGTATGGTGGTCTATTAGACTCTTGAACTTGAGAAGAGTTTGTTTGATGAATACAGCTGCACCATTGTTTGGGGCATATATATTTATGATTGTTATGTCCTGTTGGTGTATGGTTCCCTTAAGCAGTATGTAGTGTCCCTCTTTATCCCTTTTGATTAACTTGGGCTTGAAATCTATTTTATTTGATATGAGTATGGACACTCCTGCTTGTTTCCGAAGTCCATATGAGTGATATAATTTTTCCCAACCTTTCACCTTCAGCCTATGTATGTCTTTTCCTATCAAATGCGTCTCCTGTAGGCAGCATATTGTTGGGTCTTGTTTTGTGATCCATTCTACTAGCCTGTGTCTCTTGATTGGTGAGTTTAAGCCATTAACATTTAGGGTTATTATTGAGATATGGGTTGTTCTTCCAGCCATATTTGTTTATTTATGTTACTAAACATGGTTTGTTTTCCTCTTTGATTATTTTTCCCCCCTTTACTGTCCTACCTCCCACTGTTGGTTTTCATTGTTATTTTCCATTTCCTCTTCCTGTAATGTTTTGCCAAGGATGTTTTGAAGAGATGGTTTTCTAGCTGCAAATTCTTTTAACTTTTGTTTATCGTGGAAGGTTTTAATTTCATCTTCCATCCTGAAGCTTAATTTCGCTGGAAACACAATTCTTGGTTGGAACCCATTTTCTTTCAGTGTTTGAAATATGTTATTCCAGGATCTTCTAGCTTTCAGAGTCTGTGTTGAAAGATCAGCTGTTATCCTGATTGGCTTACCCCTAAATGTGATCTGCTTCCTTTCTCTTGTAGCTTTTAAAATTCTCTCCTTATTCTGTATGTTGGGCATCTTCATTATAATGTGTCTAGGTGTGGGTCTCTTATGATTTTGCACATTCGGCGTCCTGTAGGCTTCTAGGATTTGGGATTCTGTCTCATTCTTCAAGTCTGGGAAGTTTTCTCGTATTATTTCATTGAATAGATTGCTCATTCCTTTGGTTTGAAACTCTGTCCCTTCCTGTATCCCAATGACTCTTAAATTTGGTCTCTTGATGTTATCCCATATTTCTTGGATGTTCTGCTCATGGTTTCTTAACATTCTTGCTGAGCTGTCTATGTTCTTTTCAAGTTGAAATACTTTATCTTCATTGTCTGATGTTCTATCTTCTAAGTGTTCTACTCTGCTGGTAGTATTCTCAATTGAGTTTTTAAGTTGGTTTATTGCTTCCTGCATTTCTAGGATTTCTGTTTGTTTGTTTTTTATAACCTCTATCTCCCTGTATAGTTGATCTTTTGCTTCTTGGATTTGTTTATGTAATTCATTGTTGAAGTGATCTTTCATTGTCTGATTTTGCTGTCTGATGTCTTCCTTGAGACTCCAGATCATCTGAAGCATGTATATCCTGAATTCTTTATCTGACATTCCATCTGCTGCAGCTATTACCTCTTCTAACGTTGAGTTGACCTGCAATGCTTGTGGTCCTTTCTTTCCTTGTCTCTTCATACTGTTCGCGTTCCTTTCTCCTTGGTGAAACTGTTGTGCTATTGAATTTTCCCCCTATATATTTATATTGGTCTTGTATAGTTGCAAAGTCTCCCTCGCAGGCGCGGGCGGCGGCTCTGCCCCTCCTCCAATTGGGGCAATGTGCCTACCACGCCGGCAGGCCGCTGGGCCTGCTCTGCCGGTCAGTAGCAGGTCCGCCTACCTTGCAGGCACGGGGGGCGGCTCTGTCCCTCTGCGGGCCGCTAGGCTTGTTCTGTCGGTGGTCGCAGTTCTGCCTACTTTGCAGGCACAGGCAGCGGCACTGCCCCTCTGCAGGGCTCTGGGGCTGTTCTGCCAGTGGGTCGCAGGTCCGCCTACCTTGCAGGCGCGGGGGGGGGGGCTGCTCTACCCTTCCTCAGGCCACTGGGCCTGTTTTGTCTGTCGGTTGCAGGTCTGGCCTGTTCTGTTGGTGGTCACAGTTCCGTCTACCTTGCAGGCGCGGGGGGAGGGGGCGGCTCTGCCTCTCAGCAGGCCGCTGCTCCTCTTCTGCCGGTGGGTCGCAGGCCCGCCTACCTTGCAGGAGTGATTGGAAGCTCTGCCCCTCCGCGGGCCACTGGGCCTTTTCTGTTGGTGGTCACAGTTCCGCCTACCTGGCAGGCGCGGGGGGTGGGGGGCGGCTCTGCCCCTCAGCAGGCCGCTGGGCCTGCTCTGTGGGTGGTCACAGTTCCGTCTACCTTGCCGGCGCAGGGGGAGGGGGCGGCTCTGCCTCTCAGCAGGCCGCTGCTCCTCTTCTGCCGGTGGGTCGCAGGCCCGCCTACCTTACAGGAGTGATTGGAAGCTCTGCCCCTCCGCGGGCCACTGGGCCTTTTCTGTTGGTGGTCACAGTTCCGCCTACCTGGCAGGCGCGGGGGGTGGGGGGCGGCTCTGCCCCTCAGCAGGCCGCTGGGCCTGCTCTGTGGGTGGTCACAGTTCCGTCTCCCTTGCCGGCGCAGGGGGAGGGGGCGGCTCTGCCTCTCAGCAGGCCGCTGCTCCTCTTCTGCCGGTGGGTCGCAGGCCCGCCTACCTTACAGGAGTGATTGGAAGCTCTGCCCCTCCGCGGGCCACTGGGCCTTTTCTGTCGGTGGTCACAGTTCCGCCTACCTGGCACGCGCTGTGTATATTCTCTTCAAGTCTTTTTTCCAGGTATATTTTTCTATACTAGTAAACATATTGAACATCCCATTTGTTTCCTCGTTGTTTTACTTAACTTCATTTCATATATGCTTTTAATCTATTGTTACACAGCTTTCATCATCATCTTAATGGTTTTAATAGTTTAGCAAATGATTTATGGAGTAATTTTCTTAGCCATCTTCCACTTGCTATATTTAGCCCTTCTATTCGGGGGCAGAAAAATTGTACACATCACATGATTGGAAATACTTCCCCATATATAGGGTTTTCTGTATTTGGGGCTTCTCTTTGAGCTGCTTTCCTGGAAGTATGTCATGGATGAGTTAGAGAACAGAGAACATGAGTATACATGTATATAGCTCCTAATGTATATTGCCAAATTAGTTTTGAAAGAGGATCAGAAGAATTGCTGTGAGTTAAGCCTTGCAAATTTCACTTTTACCACCCAGGTCAGAAAATTGAAGGCTGTAGAAGCTAAATGGGTACCCAAGGCCCTAAGGCTTCGTGCTAAGCCTAATCTGTAACACAGATGTGTTTAGATTTTATCAGCTTGTCTTTTGCATTAATCTATGTACACATTTACTTTAATTACTTTTCACAAATATTCCAGGTACATTTGCATTTATACATAAAATATAACATTATTTCACTTTCATTATTATTGATGTCAAAATTATTGATATTCACAGTGTTACTTGAAATTAGAATGTTAACATTATATATTTAAATATTTCTGTGGTATGAGATTTTATTTCTCACTTCATTTATAGAAATCAGTTAAGCTTTATCAATGGATAAATGGAGTTGTTCTTTCCCACATTCTTCCTTCCTTCATAGAGATGGCCAGTTTTGATGATGATGAAAGCCAAACATACACACACACACACACACACACACACACACCCTCCAAGAAGCACACACACACATTCCAAGAAGCACAGAAATTTGCTGCTCCTCCAAAATCTTTTTTCATGACACATGAAAACTAATTTATAATGTGTATATTGTATTAAATATCACTTTTCCATCAGCATTTGAGCATATGAGCAGTATAAGTATGTAATGTGAGGAAATGAAACAGGATAATATATTTCAAATATGGTATGGTCATCTAGAGATGTGGAATTGTGTATATAGTATTAACAGATGTTTCTTTTCTTATTACAGGTCAATCAGGCTCCACTTCAGAGAGTGCTGCTATTGGTGATCTGTATAAAACTAGAATTCCCAGTGCAGCCCTCTCTCTTAATTCCTTCCATGCTGTCAGATATTATTCTAAAGTCATCCCTTCCTATGATGCAACTGCTGTAACAAATCAGAGCATTTCAATTCATTTACCGTCAGCTATGCCAAAAATCTCAAAGTTTCTTCCCCAGCACTGCAACTCCATGCTGGGCCAGACAAGTACAACACACCCCAACTGTCTGGTAAGTCTTTGGGAGTCTGTGAGTCAGACTGGACTCACTGTGGCCAGCAGAGTACTCACACTAGTACTAGTACTCAGTACTCTAGTTGGCTTTTAGACTGGGATCTAGAGCTCTGTTGGTTTTTTTTTTTTTGTGAGAGAGGGAGAGAGTTTTTTTTTTTAATATTTATTTTTTAGTTCTTGGCGGACACAACATCTTTGTTTTTTTGTATGTGGTGCTGAGGATAGAACCTGGGCCGCACGCATGTCAGGCGAGCGCGCTACCGCTTGAGCCACATCCCCAGCCCCTCTGTTGGTTTTTAAGTTATTCTACCTGATGCATGAAAAAACAGTGCAGTGGACCCAGGTTCTGATTTCCCAAGCTGCAGGGCTGGTATCTGAATTTCTAGAAATCAGTGAATCTTGAGTGTGTCTCTGCTACTTCGGCCTTAAGTGACCAGATAGAACCTGGTGTCTCTGATGCTGATTGCTCTTCCCCTCTGCTTTTACTAAGCTCCTAGGTTGCCACATCCTGTTTCACCTCAGCTGACTCCATAACTGGCTGCAGCTTTCTCTCTCAGAGAATAGATATAATGCAATAGATGATCGTTGAGAATAGATTTCAGAGAATAAATATAATGCAGTAGATAATCGTTGAGCATTCATTATGCTCTAGCATCATGCTTACCTGTTGTGCTAAGAAGGTAGTATATAAAAATAGACATGTGATCCTTCTCTCATGAAGTGTCATGGAGGTGCAGCAAAGAAGCAGACAGTTGTGATATAGCCTGGAACATGTAGGGAAAGTACCTCAATATATGTAATATAATCTGGACTCAAAAGAGGGGAAGGTCTGCCTGCCCCTGAAAAGTTCTCCCAAGCCAAGCTCTAAAGACAAAGAATTATCCAGGAAAGAGGTTCCAAGTCAGGAGAAAAGAGAGGAAGAACATTCCAAACAGATGGATTAGCATATGTTAACTGTAGAACCTTTATTTTTAGAAGAACTTCCAGGTCTAGTGAAAGACCCAAACAAAATTAACCTGCTTAAAAGAGACTTCTGAAAACTTTAATATTGTTGCTGATTCTTTTGCATATTAATAATATCGGTCATGTTTTGAGAACTCAGTAGATAATAGGTTATATACTTCATGTTCTTAATGTGGATGATTTAAAGAATCCCCCAAGCAATCCTTTGAGGGTGGATACTGTTATTATCTCCATATGCCATCTACAAAATGGAAATAATGGTGACCTTCCCAAAAAACATTGTGAGAAAAATATTCCAAAGAGAATTACAAAGAAATATTAGAACATGAGGTATCCACGGATGTAGTTATATTGCAAATGATCATCAGTATTTCAATAGGAAGACCATGGTAAAAGAAAGAAAAGTTTTCAAAATTATTATTTATTTATTTGTGATGGGGTCTTGCTTTATTGCCCAGTCTGGTCTCCAACTCTCGGACTCAAAACAGTCCTCCCACCTCAGACATCCAAGTAGCTGGGACTACAGGTACTTGCCATAGTGCCCAGAACATTGTAAGTTGTTGACACCTACTTACTCCATGTGGTTTTGTTACAGAATAGTAAGAAAATGACTACTTTTAATAACAACGAGTACATATTTTCAAACCTGTAGCTTTAAGCACCTGAAGATTTCACATGGCTTTACAAATTATTTCATACCGTTTTAGGACATCAAAAATACATTTGTGACATAACGAATAAGAATGGGCAGGATTCGATTAATGTGGGTTTTTTCCCTTCTTTGCAGCAACAGTTTTGGGCATATTTAGAGTACATGTTTGAAATTCACACTGTATACCACCTGCTGGGCACAGTTTGACAATACGGGAAGAGTGGAACAAAGAATAATTTTGAAAGCTACACCCAGAGACCAAATATCAAAAGAGCTGGCATTGTCTGGCTTCTGATAAATGTGCTAACAGCTTCTGCTGATAGATAGACAGGCTGTGAATGTGGTAGCCACAGGCTTTCACTCAGGCACATACACACTTGGATCTCCCTCAACCAGAGAGTTTCAAGAACAAATGGCCTGCCTAGGTGACCTAGACTCTTTTTTTTTTTTTTCCCATCAAAAAATTTTCCACAGTTTATAAAAAAAAATAAAACTACAAAGAAAATCCATGTGGACTTGATAAGAGGATAAGATTGGAAAGGTACTTTGACACTGCTGTGTCACTGAGCACAGATACTACAATTTGATTCTTATTTTAGTATCACTTAATAAGAATTGCTGTCACTTATTTCTAGATGGTATCTTTTCTAGATTTGACATTTTAAGGAGTTTCCTTCTTTATCCATCATCCAAACTAAGGTATCTAGAGAGATGCAGAAAGAGTGTCTGCCTCTTTCCTTAACCACTAATGAATAAATTGATGTGTCTACCTCTGCATTTAGCAAACCTTTGCATACAAAGATAGCTAACATTAGGCAATATTTTCTTTCTGGATCTTTAGTTTCAGATCTCTGCATTAGGAAAAAACTGTTGAAAATAAGGGGAGAAAAATATTTGTTTTATATTTCACCCAAGAGTTCTTATGTGTAAGTTTTTTTAAAGCATTCAGTTCTGATCCTGAAAATTCCTTTTGTCTTATTTCATAAATGTGTTCCCTTTTTAGTCCTATGTAATTCCTATATAAGGAACTTGATTTCACTAGATTTTTGTAATTTGAAAAGCTTAATGACTTAGGCATAATTTTCATGTTAAATTGTGTAACATGATTGTATAAGAGGATTGAATCTGTAGATGTTTGACGTAACTATGAAAGAACTTGAAAGTTCCTAAGGTTCTATGCTTATTACTACAAGTGGGTGGCTAGCCTTCACATTCTTGCCTGTTATTGCTTTGAATTGAAAGAGAACCTGCTGAAGTATTCTAGGCACTGGGAGCACTGCCATGACCCTAGCTGGTCTGGATTGCTACTGGGGCTTTTGCTTTGGTGGGGGTTTCTCTAGATCTACAAGTGAAGTGGGAGATGCCTACAGCCAGGAATTCTTCAACAGATGACCCAGAGTGTGTTACCCTCATAGCTGTCTGGCTGTATGTTGGTCCCCTTTTTCCTTTCACATGAAAAGGAATCTACAAGATTGATTATTAAAGCTACATTGTGTTTTCAAGGCCAGTTCTATGATCCTCAATTTCATGCAAATGTTCAAATTCTTTTCTAGGTTGCAGAATTTCATTTTAAATAAATTAGGCTCTTCCCAGTAATCTCAACTCTCAGCCAAAGAGGAAAGGTTAGTGAGGTTCCAGCCCTTAGACAAAGACCAGGATTTTCTTTGTAAAATCAAATTGGAGGCCATGAGACAGTGCGTGTGCAATTTTCAAAATGAAAAATGTGCAAGAAGCTTAACTAGAATAGGTGATGGTTACAGGTTTCACACTGGTGGAGGCAGACTTAGCAAGACTTGGTAGATCTCCAGTATAGGGTCTGTGAGGAGGGGTTGAGGACTAAGATGGACACCCATGTTTCTGGCTTTGGTGGCTAGTATTGCTGTTCACTGAGAGAACATAAGGCCAAAAGCACTTGGAGGAATAGCACTAGAAGATGACAATTTTATTTGTGAATGTGTTGCATTTGAGGTAGTGGTAGCATATTCCAGTGGAGGTAGCCAAAATACATTCAGATACATGTAGTGCAGGCAGGAGATCTGGATGAGAGATGAGAGGGTTGGTGTATCATCAGTACTGCGAGAGGAATTCAAACATTACATGGTAGGAGTGTCCCAGATGATCCTTAGGACCTGGTCACTCTGTGGTTATACTGTATAATTCAGCATAAGAGGTCACTTGGTCAGGCTCCTAATGACATAAAACATTGCCAATTACCAGAGATCTGAGGTACATGGGTGAAACCTCAAAGTCAGAGAGCACAAATTGCCAGAGGCCACTTTTTTTAAAACTGGTTGTTTTTTAATCATGAGAAATTAAATTTCTCCTTATTTCTAGCTTTTGAAAAACTCAAAGCTTAGGCAAAACTGCTTGATCGAGGAAGTGCCTACCCTTTTACGTGGGATATCAGTTTTCCTTTGATCACTCTTCACAGTCTTCCTTATTCGTTGAAGTGCCTGCCTGGTCCCTGCAGAGATTCCAGTTTGACTCCTGAACGAGCAATGGCTCTTTTGCACAGGGGAATAACTTGTACAGGGATGGGGGAACTTGTTTAAATTCAGATTCCCAGGCCATACCCGACAGAGTCAGATTTGGTCCATTTGGCTGGGTGTGGTACCTGGGAACCTGCATTTTAACAAACCCTATCAGATGTATTTGCAGGTATATGATTATCCTACTAAACGTATCCCATGTACTTAAACAGATGCAGAAAACCATAGGGGACAGAAAAGCAATAGAAACAAACCAAACCAATACTTCACTGACTTGCAAACCTGGCATTTAGTAAAACTGTGCATTTTAGTATCCTCTCCCAGAGCTCCTCACTCCAGAGTCATAGAATAGAGTGCAGTACTCTGCAAGGGGTAATTCTGATGCACACCTATGTTTAGGAGCCACTGATACATTTATAACATGCTACTCAATGACGTGGTAAGGGCTGGAGACCATGTTCAGTCTGCTTTGTGTAATGTGACCAATATACCAATAAGAACAACTCGGAGGAAAAGTTGGTTTTGGCTTATAGTTTCAGAGGTTCAGTCCATAGTCAGCGAACTCCATATCTCTGGGCCTTCCGTGAAGCAGAACTTTGTGGTAGAGGATGTGGCAAAGAAAAACTGCTCAGTTCATGGCAACCAAGAAGCAGAGATCCTGAGTGCAAGGAGACAGGCATAATATCCCCAAGAGCACATCCCCAGTGACCTACTACCTCCAGCCATACCCTACCTGCCTAGAGTTACTCCCCGTTAATTCATTAAAATTATGAATCCATCAAATGGACTAATCCACTGATTAGGTTACAGCTCTTGTAATCTAATGACCCTCTGAATATTCCTGCATTTTCTCACACATGAGCTTTTGGGGAGACACTTCACATTCAAACCATAACAGGAGGTAAAGTACAAAGAGCACATCCCTCCCCAGTCCAGAATTATCTCCACCTTGATTGATGAGGTTTTGCTGAGGAGGTGGGTTCAAAAACTGCTTTGGTAAGTTAGATGATTAGGTGGTACAGTTGTGGGGAATTCAAATATGGGAGTGGATGCCAAGAGTTTCGAATTGTATGTCTCAAGAGAGTGAGTAAGGTAGGGTTTCCCTTAATTTCCTTTATCTAGATGGCAATAAAAACTGCTTGGGTGGAGGGAGGTGCTTTGAAGTTTCATTTGGTCTTTCATATTTTGTAAAGTTACCCTAAAGGTATTGTTCAACTTATAGTGGTGCTATACAAAAATAATGAACATTGGATATATCATTGACCAGACCAAATCCAAAGCATTCTGGCAGTTTTCTTTCTACCTGTCTGGCATGTCCCTCATTCTCCCCTTTTCTTCTGTGTGTCTCCCAGGTACATGGAATGAGGAAACAGGAAGCCCAGAATCACCTTGGTTAATCCAGTATCAAAAGCTGGTTTCATCACCATGGAAACATGACACTTCTGTGGAGGATGGAGAAATCCCTTATCTCTCTATTTTTCAAGGCTGTTTTTACATTCCAGAATAATGTTCTTTCTGAAAACACCAGGAAAAAATTTTTTTAAAAAAACAACAGGAAAATGCAGGCACATGCGCACATGCGCGCGCACACACACGATTATATCACATAATATCTTGTATGCTGCTGAATTTTACTCTCAGACTAAAAAAAATATATTTTTACCTCAAATCAGAGTTTTCTAGAAGTCAGGTAATAAAACAAAAGTGGGATTTAACCCTGATGGAAGAAACTTCAGTGAAACAGATTTCTAAAATGCACAAAATCAACTTGTTCTATAAAGTAGTCTGCTAAACTGTGTCTCCCAAGAAGTCTTTGCAAACTGATATTGTTTTCTACTGATTTCTAACCCAGGTAGCCTTAAGGGTGTGTGAGGGTGTTGGGAATGGTAGTATTTTATAAAACATGAATCCCTCCTCCTCTCAGCTTAAGGCTACTTCATTGTGTCCCTCAAAGCAGTAGCAAAAACTTAAAAAAAATTCTACGGCATAGGAGTAATAAGACTCCTTGTCATTTTTAAACCTCTGACAAGTATCAACATGAGAATTACCCTGCAGATTACTTTCCCCATAGACCCAAGTAGAAATCAATTTTGAACTAGAAACCTTTGAAAAGTTGAGAACCTTTCCCAAAGCCATCGTTATATTAGGGTACGTACATAGAAACAAGAATGAGCTTACTGGTTTCTTTCCCTTCTCCTGTGGGTTCATACTGATTTTCTCATATAGTATTCTAATGCTCCTGAACCTAATGTTCATTAAACATTAATAAAGGGGGTAAAAAACCCTCAGGAGTCACAGCCCTGGAGTAATTACTTGTTTTTTAATTTTAAGATTTCATTTACTATAATCAAAAAGTTGAAGCATTGATTTTTATCTCCTAACAGCACTATAATTGAACCACCCTTTTGTGACATTTAACTGGAAAAATAATGATTTTAGATGTCTTGCTGAATGAGACCTTCTGTAATGCAAAGGAAGTTCTACTCTTTCATAAGGTCAGTGAGTCAAGAGCTGGACAGAAATGCCCCTAAGCCTTTGACAGAATTAAGGAAAGAAAAAAATACAGTTTGGAAAAATTTGTGAACAGATTGTCCTGGAATTAAGGGTTGATCCTAATCTCGAGCAACTGAGAAAGTACCGCAGATTTACTCTGAGCTCAAAATACTCCCTTGCTTTCTTGAGACACATGAGAAGACTTGCATATGGGGAAAGGAATTC